ACGACGTCGACTTCGACGTCGCGTCGTCAACGTCGACAGCGACGACGACGACGTCGTCGGCGACGACGCCGACGACGTCGGCGGCGGCGACGTAGGGGAAGGGTGACGGCGACGACGACTTCGACGACGTCGACGGCCAACGAAGCCCCTTGCCTCCTAAGATGCCCTGCCCTATCTGCCTTCCCCCCGGCCCGCCGCCGATGTGCGACGACGACAAGGCGATGCTTGCGGACTGCGATTTCATCGCAGCGCTGCGCCACTGGGCCTGCGCGACAAAGTTGACCAACATGCACGTGGAGAGGATGTTGGCCGCCCTGAAGCTCCAGCTCGGCATCACTGGCAAAGGTGGGCGGCCACCTCGCCCTTCTCTCCCTCTCTCCTCCTCCTCCTCCCCCCTCCTCCCCCCCCCCCCCCTCCCCCCCCCCCTCCTCCTCTCCTCCTCCTCCCTCCTCCTCCTCCTCCTCCTCCTCCTCCTCCTCCCTCCTCCTCCTCCCTCCTCCTCCTCCTCCCCCTCCCTCCTCCTCCTCCCCCCCCCTGTCGGTCACGCGGATACGCCGAACGCGGAGCGCCTTGCGTCCGTCGGCATGCTCGGGCAGCTCCTCGGTCTGCATTTGGGGTCGGGCGGCGAAGATCCAAGGTTTTTCACCCGCCGCCAGCTCATCGCCGATGATGTCCCCATCTTAGCGAACCGTCAGAAGGCCAAATCGAAACCCCCTTCCGGGTTCATCCTTTTTCGCGCTCATTGTCGAGAGCGGCGTTGCCGGCAACTCGGGGTGGAACACCTCACCGCCGACCAGTATTCTGAGGTGACGTTGGACGCCCAGATTGAGTGGTCGTGCATGTCGGAGACCTCCAAGCAGGGGTGGGCCCACAAGGCCCACGCTGACTGGTCCATGCGTATTTCGGATGAGAGGGAGCTTCAGGAAGTGCGGGCGGAGGACGAGAAGCGGCTGGACCAGCGTATCGCCGCGAACTTTTGGGGCTTGAGTTCACGATGGTCTCCAATATCTTCAGAATGGTTTGAGACTGCGGCAAGGCGCGCGATGGGGCTCGACGCCGACAAGGACCTCGGTGGCCACCGGCGTTACTGCGCCAAGCTCAGGGAGGGCATGGCGGAGAGCTTGATCGTGGATGATTCGACGAGCATCCCGAGCGGGTCGAAGGTTGACGCGCCTCTGCCGTGTTGGAAGGTATTCCCAGGGTTGTGTCGAACAAGGGATGCGTGGTGCTTGTCTGAGATTAGTCGTGCCCTCCGCAGGCTGGAGACGTATTTGAAGCCCCTCGCTGGTGAGTTCGTCAGGTTTCGGGGGTTTCGGCGAGACGGCTCGGTCAAAACCATGACTTCGCTGGTTATGCACGTGCGCATGGCTCGGCCTGCCGTCGCCATCCTCGCGAAGGCCACCTTCGATGACACGGGCGAGCAGCGGAAGGTGTGCGTCTCCAAGCAGCCTGATGGGAGGGCTTGGGTGCTTACCGCAGGGATGGTTCTCAGAGGCATCGTGCAGGGGTGCGAGAAGATGGCGACGCCGCGCATCAGCAAGTTGGAAGTTTCGCACCTGGTTGTCCGGCACAGGCGCCGCGGCATTGATCTTCTCGAGGAGAAGCCCGCCCACAACGTCTTGGACATGCCCTTCGACGCCGACGACGGCGTGAAGCTGGGCCCGGCCATGGAGAGGTGGAAGTCACTACTCGAGCTGGGGATGGAGGCCGTGGGCGAGACAACGAGCAAGAGGCGCAGGACCGATGTCTTGCACGCTTGGACGGAGATCAGCGATGACGAGGGGTCCGACTTGGAGGATCTGGTCTTTGGCGTGCCCGAGGGCAACGCGAAGAAGGCCAAGGCCAAGGCCCAAGCCGTGGCTGCGGCGAAGGCCCTATTAATTCCTCTTCCTCCCTCTTCCCATCACCCATTCCTCCGTCGTCCACCTCCTCCTCGCCCTGGCCTCCCCGTGTTGCGGCCTCCAGGGGCCTGGCCTGCTTCGCGCATCCCCACCAGCCCATCCAGAAACGACGCCCAGGCGAGTTGAGGTGTCCAGGGGAGCGCGGGGGCAAGGAGGGGGCGGCCGAAACGGGCGAAGGAGGGATGAGGAGAAGGAGGAGGCTGGATCTAAGGATGCACGAGGGAGAGGGGGAAATTGTGATGAGCAGGAGGAGGGAAGGGGGGGGGGGAGGAGGAGGAGGAGGAGGAGGAGGAGGAGGAGGAGAGGAGGAGGAGGAGGAGGGGGGGGGGATGGGGGGGGAGGAGGAGGAGGAGAGGCGGAGGAGGAGGGGGAGGTGGAGGAGAAGGAGGACGAGGACCAACAGGATAGCCAGGAGCATCTCGAATGCCTCTTGGATGTCTCTTGGAAGCCTGTTAGAGGCTTCTGGGGGCGTCGCGGGGATCTCTTGGCGGTCCAGGGGGGCTCTTGGGCGAGACGGACGGGTCTCGCAGCTCCTGTCTACTGGGGCCCAGGAGGGCCCCAAGATGGCCTCGAGAGGCCCCGACAAACTGTCACGGAAAGAGGCCTTGTTCGTGACAGCCTCTGGCCCCTTTGGGGCCCTCCTGGAAGAGGTCGCAGGAGGCCCCCCAAGAGGGCCCCAGGAGGCCCCAAGAGAGCCCCAAGAGGGCTCCAAGAGGGCCCCGACAGGGCCCAAGATGCCCCCCAGAATCAGAACAAAGGGAAAAGATGGGAATCATGATTCCCATATTTTCCCCCCTCTCCTGAGGCCCCCAAGAGGCCCCCAAGAGGTCCCCAAGAGGTCCCCTCTCTTCGGGGGCTCTTGGGGGCCTCATGGGGGCCTCTTGGGAGCCATCTTGGGGCCATCTTGGGGCCTGTCCTCCCCCGCGCAGGCTCTCGCTGGAGCCGCCCCGCCTGGTCCTGCACATCCGCCTCCGCCGCCGGCGCCGCCCCCAGGCGGGCGCGATCGACGCTGCCTGCCTTGGGGCCCCTGGTTCATCGCCGAAGTGCATGACAAGAAACAGGGCAGAGGCTTGGTGGCGTGGGGGGCGACCTGCGCATGTCACGCCAACGAGGGGGACACCCTCCGATGCGGAAAACAAGTGCACGTGGGGTCTGGCACTCCAGAGGAGGCGAGGCGGCTCGTGAAGGGGTGGCTGCTCCTCGGCAGGGACATCCCGAAGCATGCGAAGGACGGCCGCACCAGGCACGTCCACGAGATTGGGAAGCAGCTCCGGGCTCTGGTCCCAGACGACTGGACCGAGGAGGCCATGGAGCGGATGTTGTGAGGCTCGCCGACTGTCGGGGGTGGACAGAACCCCCAATAGTGACACGTCGATTAGTGAATTGTCCGTTTGCGGTTTTCGAGTGGGCGCCGTGGCCGTTATTTTCCAGACTTGCGCCCGCCAGGTTTGGGCCCGAAGTCGTTTTCACTAAACCACGTTTTACTAAAGGGAGGTCTGTCCATCCCCGAGACTGCTGGCGCGGTGTTCTAGCCGCCCCCGTGGACGGCGCGGCGACGGGTCCACGCTGACCCTGTTGAACTTTCCCCCCTGCCTCTGCGTCCCTTTTCCTTGTCGTGCATTGTTGGGGCCGCCTCGGGGCCTTCGCCCGGCTGATAGCGCCGCGCGTGCAGAAATGTTATTATAAACGTGGAAAACCAAGGTGCCGCCCAAAACGTCCGAACAAGCCTTTTCGGACGTTTTGGGCCAGGCCCTGTTTTTTTATCGGGCGAAGCGCCTTTTTCGGGGGAAGGCCCCGGGAAGCTCCAAGATGCCCCCTCCTCCTCCTCCTCCTCCTCCTCCTCCTCCTGCTCCTCCTCCTCCTACTGCTCCTCCTCCTCCTACTGCTCCTCCTCCTCCTCGAGTCCCGAGCGAATGCCGCGAGCACAGTTTTGACTCAGGCTCAGCCTGTGCCTGCTTCGGACTCTGATTAAATCAGAGTTCGCCTCTTGCTGCGGTGCGAGTGGGGACTGCCCGGCGGTGCGCCGTTAGTGACCCTCGCACCGTTGCTGTCCTCACCCAAGACGGGCGAGCCCCTCGAGCCGCTCGTCTTCTCGGAGCTCGGGGAGCCTGCGATGCCGCAGCAGGCGCCCGAGCCCGGGGCACCTGCATAGTGGGCGGAAGTGCAACGGGGGGCGCGGTGCGAGTGGGGACTGCCCGGCGTTGCGCCGTTAGTGACCCTCGCACCGTTGCTCCCCGGCCCCGCGCACGGCGCGGAGAGTGCCCTTTGTTGGACGAGGGTCTCTCTCGTCCCTTTCCTTTTCGAGGCGTGTTCGTGATTCACCTGCACGCTCTCGGCACTGTCCTCACTGTCCTCCATTAAGCTGGAGGCCAGTCTTCGGGGCGCGTAGCGCCCCCCTTCGCCAGGCCCCTCACCTGGCCTCTTCACTGCTCGGCGCTAGTCACAGACCTGCGCCTCGGCAGCCGCAAGCCGCAAGCCTCCTCCTCTTGGCGGCAACTGCCCAGGTGGGCTGCGCAGCCCCGAAGGGTTTGGCGCACCTGTCTCGAGACATCACGCTGGAGGCAGGGGAGGTGGAAGTAGTGTTGGTGGAGGAGGGTGAGGGGGAGGAGGAGGAGGAGGAGGGGGAGTGGAGCTTTTCGTCTCGGGTCAGGTCGCCGGTCGCCGCTGCAGGCCCGCCCCCCCCCCCTCCGCCCCCCAATCCCCCGTCCTTCTACGCCGCCCGCAGGGGCGCGAAGATAATCGCATGGATCGCGGCCCAGGCCGCAGCGGGGCCCTTCTCCAGAGGGGCGGCGCGAGGGCGCGAAGACCGCCTCGCGTCGCGCATCGCGGGGCGCAGAGTTTGGCGACTTAGTTCTCGGGGGAGGGGGCGAGGGTCGCGGAGAAGGGGGGGGATCGCAGCTGCCGCAGCTTCGAGCCTTGTTGATTCCCCCGCCCCGCCAGAACTCTCGCGGCGATTGCTGGCTTTCCGATGGCCCCCAAGAAGCCTCGCGGTCGCGCTGCGCCCAAGCTTCAGCCTCTGACTTTCACCAAGAAGCCCAAGACTACCACACCTGATTTGACCGGCGTCGAGGTGGCGACGCAGCCCGCCGGCGTCGCCAGGGGGGTCGGCGTGGGGGCGCAATCTCCAGCTAGCCCCGCGTCGACCGAGCCCAGGCAGCCGGGCTCGCCACGGCGTCGCGGCGATCAGGCGGATGACCTGCTCGCGGACATCTTCGATGACCCCGAGCCGCCGGCGCGCGCGTGCGCCCCCAGCCCCGCAGCGGCAGCGCCGACGGCCGAGGAGGCCCGCGCGGCCGAGACGGGGGCGCCGGTGGAGGGGGCGGCCGCGTCCGTGGAGGAGCAGGTCGCGCCGGCGCACATGGTGATCGCGGCGCCGATGGCCGTGGAGGAGAGCTGCGCGGCCGACGCGGGGGCGCCGGCGGAGGGGGCGGCCGCCCCCGCGGGGGAGCAGGTCGCGACGGCACGCGTTGTGATCGAGAACGTGAATGCTCTCCCCTCTGGCTCAAGGGACGACATGAGCAAGCACTTGGAGGAGGTCATGGATATTTCCGAGCTCGAGGGCGTCGACTTCCACGGGGGCGACACCCTGGCCAAGATATCTGGCGTTGACGTTGCCGAGGAGATGACGCTGGAGGAGGAGCTGTTCGCCGTCGGCGCCTCGCTTCCTGAGGTGGGCGTGGACTTCGAGGCCCCCCCCCTTGGACACGCACACCCAGCGGCCCAAGAGGGCCCTTAGAGAGCTCTAAGAGGGACCCACCAAGAGGGCCCATAGAGAGCTCCAAGAGGGACCCAATGGGGCCCCATGTCAGGTCCGGCCCCCGCCGCCCTGGGCCCTCCTAGGCCCCCCTAGGGCCCGTGGAGGGGCCCGAGAGGGCCCCAAGAGGGGCCCAATCGGGCCTAGTGTCAGGTCCAGCTCCCGCCGTCTCGGGCCAGACCTGGCCCGCCCCCCCCCCCCAAGAGGAGCCCCCCCTGCTGTCGAGGACTAGGGCCGCCAGCTTGACAGCATGAGGGCCCGCTTGGGCCCCCTCGTGGAACCTTCCTGGGGGTCTCCTGGGGCACTCTGGGGGCGCCCTTAGAGCCTCGAGAGGGGGCCAGGGCCAGGTTAGAGCCTCAGGAGGGGGCCAGGAAGGCTCCAAGACGAGCCCCCCTGCTGTCAAGGACGAGGGCCACCAGCTTGACAGCGGGGTGCCCGCATGGGGCCGCTCTTGGAGCCTTCTGGGGGCCCTCCTCGGGCCCTCCAGGGACTGCTCTCTTGGAGCTCAAAGAGGAGGCCAGGGCAGGGCGGGGGAGCTCCCGATGGAGCCTCAGGAGGGCGCACCCTTGCAATAGTGGTCAATGCAACTTCGTTGCCGCGACGCCCTTGCAATTGTTGCGGACAGGGGCGTCAGGGAAACTTCCCGGACGCCCCCCCCCCTGCACTTGTTGGCGGGCCTGCGTCAACGGAGATTCCTTGACGCACTGCCTTCGCAATCTTTGCAACGGGGGGGCGTCGGGGGAATTTCCTTGACGCCCTGCCATAATTGCGGCAATGGAAATCTGGCAACTGTCGCAATAGTTGCAACGGTGGAGCGTCAGGGAACTTTCCCTGACGCCCCCCTCCGAATAGAGGTTAATCGGTGACACAAGACGTTGCCGATATTAGGATGTCTCGAGAAAACGCCGAATGCAATAGTTGTCGAGCGTCAGGGTAGTTTCCCTGACGGGGGGGCGTCAGGGGAATTTCCCTGACGCTCCGCTGTTTCAACTATTGCAACAATTACCAACATCGCATTGCCGCTATTAGGGCAGGGCGTCAGGGAAATTGCACTGACGCGCCCCCCGTTGAAATCATTGCAAGGGCGCGTCTGGGAGTTTCCCTGGCGCCAACGCGGGGTGTCAGGGAAACTTCCCTGACGCCAAGGGGGCGTCCAGGAAGTTTCCCTGACGCCACGCGCTGCAGTAGTTGCAGTGAGTGTTCCGTGCCCGCCTTCCCCTCAGGTCGACCCCGAACTCGATGGGGATGGCGGCGGGCCGTCGCCGCCGCTATCCGAGGACGCGATGGCGGCGGCCGTCTCCGCTGGTTGCTCACCTTTGCGCCGTGCGATCCGTCAGTACGTCGACAATCTCCACGGCCCCCTGAGGCTCGACTTCGTCAGGGCCATCGTGGCCCTGGACAGCCGCCTGGCCCTGGACGGCGACAGGGAGTCGGAGATCAGCGTGGGCACCCTCTTCTCCGGGTCCGACATAGCGCTGAGGGTCTGGCGCGACATCGCCTTGGAGGTAGCCGATTCGACAGGCTGCCGACTGCGCTTCCGCCACGTGTTCTCTGCCGAGAAGAGCGCGGTGAAACGATCGTGGATTAAGGAGACCGCGCCCGAGCGGATGTTCAAGTCGGTCGAGGCCTTGCTCGGCGACGCCGAGATTCCGAGCGTGGACTGGGTCGCCTTCGGCCCCCCGTGCAAGGCCAAGTCGAAGCTGAACCCGAATCGCACCCGCAACAAGAAGTGCATCGCCGAGGGGACGGCATGCACTGGCGAAGGCTTCAAGGACCCCCCCCCCTCCGCCATCCTCATCCTCCGCCTGCCCCCTTCCGACCCCCCCATCGCCCCCCGCCCTTCCACCGCCTTTTATCCCCCCTCGTTATGTTTGTGCCCCCCGCCCCCCCGCGGGCCGCCCTCGGACCCCAGGGCCGTCGGAAGCGGGCCCAGGATGAAAAATTACCCGTGGGGGCGACTCCGGCAGCGTTTAGGGTTTAGGGTTTAGGGTTTAGGGTTTAGGGTTTAGGGTTTAGGGTTTAGGGTTTAGGGTTTAGGGTTTAGGGTTTAGGGTTTAGGGTTGTCTTGGCCTCCGGGAGCCCCCCCGAAGGAGGAGCAGATCCGCTGCACTTAAGGGCCCCTTAAGTGCAGCGGGCTGTCTTGGCCTCCGGGGGCCCCCCCGAAGGAGGAGCAGATCCGCTGCACTTAAGGGCCCCTTAAGTGCAGCGGGCTGTCTTGGCCTCCGGGAGCTAAGTTAAGTGCAGCGGGCTGTCTTGGCCTCCGGGAGCCCCCCCGACCGAGGAGCAGATCCGCTGCACTCAAGGGCCCCTTAAGTGCAGCGGGCTGTCTTGGCCTCCGGGAGCCCCCCCGAAGGAGGAGCAGATCCGCTGCGCTTAAGAGCCCCTGAAGTACAGCGGGCTGCCTTGGCCTCCGGGAGCCCCCCCGAAGGAGGAGCAGATCCGCTGCACTTAAGGGCCCCTTAAGTGCAGCGGGCTGTCTTGGCCTCCGGGAGCCCCTCCGAAGGAGGAGCAGATCCGCTGCACTTAAGGCCCTCCCTTGGCCGACAGGCGCAGAGGAGAAGAATGTGGAGGGGAAAGAGGAGGGAGGGGGGGGGAAGAGGAGAGAGGAGGGAGGAGGGAGCGGGGAGGAGGGAGGGAGAGGAGGGATGAGGAGGAGGAAGAGGAGGACGAGGATCAGCAGGTGGACGAGGAGGTGGATGAGCATGGTGGTGATGATGATGATGATGACGATGGTGCTGATGCTGATGATGATGATGATCATGATGATGCTGATGATGATGATGATCATGATGGTGCTGATGATGATGATGTTGATGATGGTGGTGGTGACGATGATGATGATGATGATGAGGATGATGCTGATGCAACCCTTTCGCGGTAGAACATCGTTTTGGCGAGCTTCCCCCTCTTTCGGCTGATGATGATGATGATGAAGATGAAGATGGTGATGATGATGATGATGTGCGTTTAGCAAAGGCCGCCGTGACCGTTTGCAGATAACAAGAGGTGTGTCCATTGCCTCTTCCCCCATAACATATCCTCCATCGCTCTCTCTCTCCCTCAAGTAATCGCTCCCAGTGCCTCTTCAGCGCATCGACCATGGCGCTGGCATCGCGCACCACCTCGACCTCCTCAAGGGCCCGCGCCCCCTGCGCCGCCACTTCGTGGCCATTTTCTTCCCGCCCCATGCTGGGCTTCTGGCCCTGCCTCACGCCAGCCAGGATCAGCATCCGCTGTGCGGACCAGCCGGGACCAAATTTTCGGGGCGTGACCCTTGACCCTGAAAAAGACATTATGTTTTAGGGGGCGCCCTTCGCAGGGGTCCGCTCAGAGCTTGTGAGGAGCCCTTGGGGCCTTCCCAGGAGGGCCCCCAGACTGCGCAAGAGGCCCCCCGAGCAGCCACAGAGGCCCCCAAGACGACCCCGAAGAACACCACCCAGAAAAATATAATATTTTTCTGGGCGCGCCCATCGTAGACCCCGCTCGAAGCTTTTGAAGTGCCCTTGGCGCCCCCCCAGGAAAGGCCCAAGAGAGCCGAACAAGCCTCGAAGACGGCCCAGGAGCCTCCCAAGCCGGCTCCCCTGAGAGCGAAATACGCTCCCAGGACGGCCCAAGAGGCGCCCAAGACGATGCCCAAGAGAGACCACCCAGAAAAATATAATATTTTTCTGGACGCGCCCACTGTGAACTCCGTTGGAACCTTTTTAGGCGCCCTCGGCGGCCCCCCAGGAGGCTCCCAAGCGAGCCCAACTGGCTTCGAAAGCGGCCCAGGAGACCCTCAGGACGGCTCCCCAGAGAGCCGAAAAAGCTCCGAAGACGGCCCAAGAGGCGCCCAATATGGCCACGAAGTGGCGGCGCAGGGGGCGCGGGCCCTTGAGGAGGTCGATGTGGTGCGTGATGCCAGTGCCATGGTCGATGCGCTGAAGAGGCACTGGGGGCGATTACTTGAGGGAGAGAGAGAGAGAGAGAGAGAGAGAGAGAGAGAGAGAGAGAGAGAGAGAGAGAGAGAGAGAGAGCGATGGAGGATATGGCATGGGGGAAGAGGCAATGGACATCCGAGGAGGAGGAGGAGGAGGAGGAGACAGCACGCGCGCAGTCCCTTTCCATCCTGCACTTCTGAAGTCAATATGGCCGTCACTCGGCCGCCCGACCTGGGCGCCCCCGGGGGCCCGGGGGGCGCATGAAGCATCGCTGAGCTGATTGGTAAGCAGCTGGCAGTGCTGGTAGCTGTCCATTTCTCAGTCTCGCTCCCTCTCACCTCCCCCCCTCTCTCCCGCTTCCCACCCCCGCCTCCTCGTCCCTCTACTTCCGTTCCCCTTCGTCCCCAGTGACATTCAGTCAACTCCTAACTGTGCCTTCCATGCCGGCCCTATCCCCTACCTCCGCTGCTTACCACCAGCGAGCCTCTCAAGGCTTCGAGCGTCGAGCGCACTGAGCCTCGAGGCAAGCGAACCCAGGGGCTGAGCGCGCACGCCTCCGTACGTTTTTCGTTGAATTCGTTATGTAAGGCCTTCCTGGTCGGGTCGTGTCTCGTCCTCATTTCTCCCCTCCCTCCTGCTACCCTTCCAGGACTCGCTGGAGTACGTGCGACGGGCCAAGCCGAGGGTGGCGTTGGTCGAGAACGTGGAGACCCTGATTGAGGGAGAGGTTGGAGATCGCGAAATCGATTATCTCGTGTCCCAGTTCGATAGCATGAACTACTGGTGCTTCTGGAAGGTCTTCGACACTGCCGAGTACGGGTCACCTGTCCCCCGGAATCGTTTGTACTTGCTTGCTATCCACGACGTCGGTGAGCACCGCGCGGCCCTCGGCCTGCACGCCCGGGACCTCATGCTGGCCATGCGCGCTCCAGACTTTTTCGGCATCCACGACTTCGTGATCGAGCCCCGCCAGGCCCGCGAGACCTTCATGTCGGACAAGAGTTTGGTTCCCTGGGGGGAGAGGGGTGGCAGCGACGACCCGACGGTCGGTTGGCGAGATGAGCACAATACCTTCTACAGGGACCATAACTTGACATGGCCCCCTTCGGACAAGATGACCTCTCACATCACAAAGGAGGGCTTGAACCAGAGGCAGGTGGAGCTCGCGTACTTCCTCGACTTTGCTTTCGGACCCGTGGGGGACCTCGTGAACGGCCGGAGGGTGGATTTCTTCGACGCCGCTTGCAGTTTGACGAGGCTCATCGGTGTCAAGCTCAGCGAGCGCCAGCAGAAAGAGCCGAGGGACCCGTGGACCCTGCGGCCACCGACGTTCATCGCCCACGCGCAGATCGTGATGAGGACTTACGTGCCCAGTGAGTATTCCAGCACCGGCGAACCTGAGAGCAGGTTGCGCGCCTTGGAAGCTTTCGAGGTCATGCAGATGGTCGGCTGGGACTTCGCGGTAGGCCCGCCGCTCAAGCAGAAGTTCGATCCCAGCGCAATAGTTTCTCTGGCTGGGAACGCCTTCAGCGCTTTCGCCTGCGCGGTGATCTCCCTCGTGGCCTTGAGTCTCTTCGGCCAGATCCCGAGTGCCCCCGTGGAGAGGGGCCAGGCGGGCCGCGAGGGTGAGCCCGACCAGCCTGGCGAGAGGGCAGCCGAGGAGGGCGAGCAGCCTGCCTCGAGTTCGACTGCGTCAAGCTCGTCCTCGAGCTCTGGCGACTCTGACGACTCTGACTGATTGAGCCCCGCCGCTCGATCCTGGCCCGCCACCTCGCCCCCCCCTCTCCCGACCGGGGGAAACTCCACGAGGTCAGAACCAAGCTATGTTTCAGAAGCCCCGCCCTCCCCCCCCTCTGCAGTGCTCGCCCCTTGGCTAGGTCTCCGCCAAGTCAATTATCTCTCGCGCGATGGCCGCTGCGACTCATCGCGCGCTGGCTCGGGGGTTAGCCAGCAAGAGATTTCGGGTTTGGGTTTGCGCTTGCGTAGACGGGGTGGCCCAGGAGCGGGGGTCGTTGGCGGCTCGCGGTCGAGAATCCGCCCTTTGCTCGCTCTTTGGGATTGGGGGCATCTCTGACGCTTCGCGTATAGTCCAGAGAGCATGCTTTGGCGAGTTGCCTGGATCGGGGAAGTGTAGCAGCGCGCAGCGTAGCAGCACGCAGCGCAACATGCCCGAATATACGGATCAAGATAGCCCCATGGGGGCTCCAAGGGGCCCAGGAGGGATCCAACAGTGCTCAAGATGGGGGCGCAAGGGGTCTCAGGAGGGCCTTGAAGAGCTTGGGGCATATTGGAACCTTTCCAGGGGCTTGTGGCGTTGGGTCCTCTTTGTGAAGAGAGCGCCCCGCGTCGCTCTCTCCTCTCCTGCCCCTCCTCCTGGCAGGAAAGGGCGACCAGGCCCACCCGGTCAATTTTGCAATTCTTCAGGTGGGGCGTGGGGGCCCGTTCGCTAAGTCACCCCCATGGTTGCGAAGATAATCGCGCCCCGCGCGTCGCGGCCAGGGCAGGAGGATCGCCCTTCTCCAGGGCGGCGGCGCGAGAGCGCGGAGATAACC